AAGATCGCAATCAGATCTGCGATCTCCTTCTGTTGTAGCGTTTGCGAAGAACGCCAGGCAATTGCCCGAAGGCATCCATTCGATCATCCTCGGGCGTATCTTTTGCCGAAGAGCGCCAGGCAACGCTACAAGGCATCGATTCCTTCCATGGACGATGCCATCAGATGTGCTCGAACGGCGGGGCGGTCGGAAAGCGCAGACCAAGCACCAGTAGTGCCCTGCTTCCATTTGCAAAATAGGAGAGAAGTCGCGATCACACACCTTTAGTCAAAGATGGTCCAAGCAGCGCCAGAAATGCATCGATTCATTGCATGGACGACATGTAGAAGAACTACTTTTGCAAAGGCAGCTTGATCAACCGTCCACATCTCTTGTTTTCTACCCTTTTAGCATCCGTCAATGTAGGCGCGTGATTTTTTCGCTACTGCGACACTTTATAAAATGTAGCTGGGGTCCGCACCCAAAAGTTAAACCTTTGTCTTTCTCTCTCGGCCTGCCGTCTGTTGTATTCTCCGCATTTTGTTTAGTAAGCGGCGTCCATTCCACATCATCACCGATGTTCATATTAATAATATTCTCTCTCACCTTTTTCTCGCTCCACTCCATCTCTCACCCGACTACTCGCGATCGCCGTATATCGGCCCATCTCTTCACCCTTGCACTACAACTGCCCAACTTCTACTTTGCTTCACTCGTAAAAAAAGTCTTCTTGACTGCTGTATGTTCATCATTAGGTAGGCCTCCTCCACTTCAGCGGATATTTTCTGTCGCGCATATTACCCATCCCTTCATCCTTTCAACTCCCACCGTCTATGCTGAGGCACATTTTCAGTATTTACTCCCTTTTCAACACCCCCCCCGCTTCTCCTATATCGCTCCATGTTAGGTATGTCTACTGGTTCAATCGGCGCTGGTCTCCTTCGCCTGTTTCAAGACCTTCCGGCGCAGCAAGCTGCCAACCTAAACTCTGTAGTTATTAGGACATGCCCCCCTTTCAGGATTCGATTGGACCTGGCGTTTTTTTTTCGTTTGGGGCTTTTCCCGTATTTGGAGACAACCTGCGCACGATGACTGTGATCCAGACAGACGTTTGTACAAAGTTGGCAATGCATGTATGATAACGCACTCTCTCCTCCGGGTGGGCCATAACTGGGAAAAAAATAAGCCGGTTGACCCGAACGGAGAGTCTTAAATGGCCTTAACCTAAAACGGGATGACTTCATACCGCCGTACGGACAGAACATCACAGGTAGCAGATGTTCCGCGCAGCAAAGCGGGGTGCAAGAGGATTGGTCGCCCCCGGCGGTTTGAAGTTTCCAATTGGAATTTTCAGCATCCTCGACCTCGTCGGATGTGGGTGGAAGTCCCGGAGTGCACCGAGTATTGAAAGGGGTCGTGAGTGTCAAAATCTCGAGAGTGGCGAATGGCGTGGTTGCCTGCTGGGTACGCATCCATGTGCCGATGCTTTTTGATCCAGTCCCTCGCTTTGTGGCATGGTAGTGCCGCCCCTGCCCACTCCAGTCATGTTACGCCATACATATACACATGTACCTCTCTTGGAGGGACGCCGAACTGCACCAACGCCACGTCCTCCATGGTCTTGCGCCAGCCTTGGACCGCGCACTGCGCCACTTGCACGCCTCCATGCTCGAAACCCTTCCAAGCGGGACAAAAAGGGGGCCCGCGTGCACCAAGTTATTTAGTTTGTGACATGAATGAATGCATGGGCTACATGACGAAAGGTAAGCAGCAAACATATGCCCTCCCCACCGCCACCGTGTGTGTGCGCGCGCGCACTCGTGCATGTTTTCTGGTAACGGACGACGTAATGGAGGGGCTGCGGAAGTTCTTCACGCCCTACAACGAAGCCCTGGAGGAGCTCTTAGGCCAACCGCTCCCGGAAGCATGGGTTTCGATGTTTCGATGGTGCATAAGGTTTGTCGGGGTCACATTCAACAGATCGCCAACATTAACGGAAATTTGAATTCTCGGAGCCCGTCCAGAATTGCTGCCGCACCACCCACCAAATGCTGCGCGCCGTGTGCACAGCAAGAGTCACGGCGATACAAACATTTGTGCCGTCCGTTTCGCATCGAACGACGACAGATTACGCTTGCAGCAAAGTTCCAAATCCTTTAAGGGCGCGGGGGGGATCGCAGTACCTCCTCTGAAAAATCCAGGAAACGCCTGCATATCTCGGTTTTCCAAAGTCTAACTCCAGTACGAAACTACCATCGTAAATTAACCGTCCGCAGCGGTCGCTTGTGTACAATGTTAGTAGCTGAGGTTGTACCCCTTGCGATACACTACAGACTAGCGGTCCGCGATTTTCCAAACGATCCTTCTATCATCGAGTTCGGTGAACTACAAGCTAGATTTTTGAAGCTGCTGTGCGGTCCAATTTTGAAACGCTTCAAGCACCTTTTCCTAAAGGCTGGACATGCATATACATGACCCTAGGCATTCAAATCGACAATGGCGACCAGCTGGATATGTGAGGGAAGAGCTGCGCTCGAAGTTCGCGGCCCCATACACTCACATAGGCGGTGATTCGTGTTCACCGTGTGCTTGAAGCGTTTCAAAATTGGACCGCACAGCAGCTTCAAAAATCTAGCTTGTAGTTCACCGAACTCGATGATAGAAGGATCGTTTGGAAAATCGCGGACCGCTAGTCTGTAGTGTATCGCAAGGGGTACAACCTCAGCTACTAACATTGTACACAAGCGACCGCTGCGGACGGTTAATTTACGATGGTAGTTTCGTACTGGAGTTAGACTTTGGAAAACCGAGATATGCAGGCGTTTCCAGGCGTTTCCTGTTTTTTTGAAGAGGAAGTACTGCGATCCCCCCCGCGCCCTTAAACAGTCCACGGGTGTCTCGGGAACCAAAAAAGTAACGGGCGATGGGACGCATCTCGTGTGTAGTATGCATACATCTCAGTGGATATGCACACCCCGTTCACGCCTTTAAAAAAACGGTGATGGGTTGTATGTTGTATGCAGCCGAAAGTCGTCGACATGCCTTCCCTTTTTGCTGGAATACACTGCAAGGTTTGGGTCTCCAGGAAGTAGGTGCTCAACTACAAGGAAGTAGGTGCTCAACTACAAGAGTTGACGAAAACAACACGGAACCGCACTTGAAAAATGAGAGAATTCACCACTCAGTTAGAGCGGCAACCATATGCATAGCTCCAGATCGACAGCGCGTCAGAGAATGGCACTCTTTCCAGAACGTCGAGAGAAACTGATCAAGTCGGTGTAAAAGCGGGACGTTTCACGTACAGCAGTATCGCCGTGGTCCTTCGTTACTTACAATACTGCTGCTGTTCACGTCGTCCGTGCGGGGAGATGTGCTCCGGAAGGCAGGCAGCAAAAAATCGACTGTTGTTGCTGTGCTTTGGAACCTGCTGTAATGCTCCGTGTGAGGATGGGAAGAAGCCTATGTGTTGGCATACCGCACGTTGCTGTTACGCGGGATGACCCGGCAGCCCGCTCCTCGTGTATGTCGGCTAAATTACAACGCACTGGCCATTATGTACGTGTTGATGGCGACGCCGAAAATTAAAATTCATCTCGAGACACTGCCGGTGCTGTACCATATACAGCAGGAAGGGTGGGAGAATACCTTCGCCAAGCACCCCATGAACACTGCAGCATTGCGGCTGCCTACTGCAATTCCTGAGTGCTCGGGGCTTCTTTCAGCATTACACCAAAGGCGCAAGGCATAGATCAGTCCGCTGCTTGTGAGAACAACTGCCTTGCAGGCAGTGCCGTATTTGCGTATTTGCCAAGCGGATCCCACCTTGCATTTGAAGTCCAGAAGGGGCTCTGATCTTTCGAACGAGACAACCTCTCCGTTCTCATCTCTCGAGCTGGAGCAACCCATGGAACCCACAGCCCTGTGGCCAGCACACACAGGCCCGCGGTTGTGTGCAATTGCGCCGTGTGCCAACACAAGACAGACACACAAGTGATCCACGCGTCCCTGTGTGCGGGGTCGTCTGTTCACCCAGGGCTGCGCGTGTGTGATTGAACTTGCGGAACCCCCTTCGTGTTTTTTTGCCTGCCTAACGCTGCTGGGAGGTCCTGCGTCGTGAAATATTGTTGGGGTCCTCTTGCCTCCCCACGGGGGACTAGAAACACCTCGGACCACAAGGGAATGCTATTAATACACCAGCGAAGTCGGTTCATGTTTTACGTCAGGCCTCCTCTGTGCTTCTCATGTTTGGCGCCAATACGTCGCGACGTTGAAACAGAAGGCCGGCGTACAACAGGGGGATGCCCAGCGGGTAAACGAAGATCATGAACCCTGCGTACACCTGAAAGGCCTCGTGTTTGGCATCCGTGCAGTGAACACGGTAGTCCGCCCGGAGGTACTCGATCCCTGCTGTGGACGTCACGACGTCACAAGGACCCATGTCTCAACGAGGCGCTGTCGACGACAATCTACTCCACAGGTGGTCTAGGAATCTCTCTCCAAGAAGAGCATGCAAGATGCTTCGAGTGAACGAAAGACGTGCGAACATGGGCTATCTTGTTTGTTTCATGGTTCCAGCAGGCCAACATCAGGTTGCTAGTGATGGAGCACTTTCTCTGGCGAGGGTAAGAGTTTAATCAAGAAGGTAAAGCTTGCTGACTCTCTCTAGCAGGCAAACTACAACAAAATTGTGACACACATCCTTCCACGAGAGGGACAAGAAAGAAAAAAACGACCACAAAAAAAGAAATCCTTGTGTCCACTCTCTATCCCGCCCCCCCCCCACCTCCCGGCTCTACCATCTACGCATCAAATCGACCCAATATGCACTCTCCCCGCCCCCCACAACACACACACACCAAAAAGCGCGCAGCACCCGCCGACGCAAGTACGAGGACAACCGAACAAGACTGAGAAAAATGTTTACGCCTCAGCAGTCGTGGTCCTCCAGCCGAACCATCCCAGCCCTCGCCGTTCCTCGCTGGAGCCAGAACGCCACGGGGAGGGGACGTCGTCTTCCGGTCCCCCCCTCAGGCGCAGCACAAGGTGCAACGTGTTTCCCTCCTCGAGCTCGAAGTCGCTGAGCTGCTTGTCCGCCCCGCTCAGCTGCTTCCCGCCGAAGATGATGCGCTGCTGTTCCGCCGGGATGCCCTGTGTCGTTGTCGGTGGCATGTTTGCAGGGGTTACGGGAAGCCAGCAGCAACATTGAAGCAAGACGAAAAAGGAGGGGCAAGAGAAATCAGAAAGTGAATACGCTGTACAGAGCATCGATTTGGGGATACTTGGTGATCGAATGAACAGGGGACTCTGAAGAGGTTTTAAACCGATGCATGTCGCCTCCGTCTATGGTGTAGAGACAACAATCGTTCACGTCTACAAACACGCAGTGTAGTAGCAACCCTTCTACGCAAATAGGTCGCCAACTTGCCTCAAAGATTTCGTGCATTTGATCGGCAAGCAACGCGGGCTCCACGGACTGAGTTGAGAAAGAGCACGAGGCTCATACTATGCATACAACCAAGCTGGCTTCAAATCTGCAGTAATTCTTCTAGGCAGTCGATAAAACACCCCTACACGCACGGCAGCAAGGCCGCAGCTCGCCGATATCCCCCGCACCAAATAAAATTCCTCAGCTTTAGCTTGATCAAATCGCAACAGACAGAAACTTACGAATGTACCGTACTGTACGAGTCACGGCGTGCACCACTCCCTCTCATCACGATCCTAGCCCGAAAGTTCCATATGGATGGGCGGTGGGGCGTGCTCGAGCTAAACTAACGTTGCCTACGAACAACCTCATCGAGACCTTTCCCCAAATCCATGTGTCAGCGGATCACAACGCCATTCTGTCGCTGTAACTCAGGGGTCAAGAACTACGTCCAGCAAGATTGGTTCAGGCCCGTTAACGTCGCCTTTTACACTCGTGACGGCGGTGTGACAGACAAACGTCCGCAAAACGAATTAGGGAGGTAAGGTACCTACATATCGCCCAATGACCCACCTCCTTCTCCTGAATCTTGTGCTTGAGCGTCTCGATAGAATCTCCGGGCTCAACGTCCACGGTAACCGTTTTCCCCGTAAGCGTCTTGACGAAAAGCTGCATTCCCCCTCGCAGCCGCACCACCTGTTTATTGGGAGGTGTGCAAATACACCCAGGAAAGGGAAAAAAGAGAAGGAGCGGCGGTCGGGCAAACGCGGGCAAATGAGAGCCAGCGATGTTTGCGAGTTCTTTTTTAAGCCACAGCTATCGTTGTCCATGACCTTGCCACAAAACTGCAGCCGGGGCGCCGAAAGACAGACCACCACCAACCCTCGGTACTTTTCCCGCAGATGGTGTGACTTCATCTTGAATGACTTAATCTTGAAAACACTCAAGCGCCGATTTCGCTCGCCCATTCGACAAGCAGTACCCCCGCCCCGACGGCATTCGGGTAGAACACCATTCGAGAAGCCGCACAAAAACACTTGCTGGCTGCTGGTAGATGCAAGACAACACCGCCCAACTATTTCTCTCTTAATTCGCCGCAGTGTGGTGCCAGACTGCTGTGGCAGTACTCGACACCTTGACACCGGTAACTAAGGAGGCGAGGGGCGGGCGCGAGAGGCCGCGCGGAAGGAGCTTCCGTGCCGCTGTGCTTTCCCGGCAACCAACTGGTTGTCTATCTTGTCTGTGTATGTACAGCAGTCCGGCCCCAAGATATCACACCATCATGGGTCCGGTCTTCCAGGGCCTCTGTGCCACTACGCTAACATCTTCAACGCTTCCAACAAACGCTCCCGCAGCTACAAAAAAAGAGCGACGATTGATCCCCGTCTGCTGCTGCTCCGAACTGATGGCAGGAGTGCTTGAGCAGCAAGGCGAGAGGGCGAACGTACATGTACTAGACCGGACCTCTCACCAACCTCCCCACAAGTACTGCTGTCGAACTACTCCACGAGTTACAGTTGTGGCGGACGCACCCGTTGCGCAAACACGTCATGTTTTTGGAACCCTCCCAGGTAACAGTTGTCTTTACAATAGCCCAAATGAAATTACTGCTCACTTCCACAGGCAGCTACTATAGTACGTGCCCACGGGTGGTGACAGCCGTCGAGCAATAGTAATCCATTCCCATGCGTGCCGAGCGCGCTTGTCGGTCCGCTGACGCGAACCTCTTTCGGTTCGATACAGCAGCAGCGAGTATTGCTTGCTTGGAGGAGAGCAGTGTCAATCCTGCTGTGTCGGTTTGTGTGCATGCGCACGAGATTCGTATGAATACAGAAGCACTGGGATGAGAGGGCTGCGAAGTCCGGCCGCAACAACACGGCCGAGTGGCACGCGCATAAGTGCACCTGAATCACATCAGCTTGTGCAACAAACACCGAGGCATCACTCGCCAAGTGTCTTTCCCACACCAGCAGTTGGTAGCATCCAACGAGAAAAGTCCGCAGTGCTAACTGTCAACCACAGGTAAGATATGCATCGTATATAGTCGCCGCAACATCCATCAACCACGTGTTTTCCATATTCTCGCCCCAGCTGCTGCAGATACCGATCAAAACCGGACGTTGGGTACATAAACATGGTGTTGCGGTTCCCGAAGTGTTGGATGCGTTATCTACACTAATATATGTTGATCCATGATGGATATTACTTCGATCAATTAGTCTGGACAACGGCCGATGGCGAACTCGGGGATAGAGCGACCGCTCAGAGCGTGCCTGGCAGAAGCACATGAACAATAATGCTGAAGAACAAAATCTCTCAACGTAGAATGGGCAAACCTTGTTGTAGCCTTCCTCGCTAATCGACAACATAGCGGTGTATGTTTTTTTGTGTCCAATGTTAAAACGTTAAAACCCACTCAAAATGGTACCAATGTGGAATGTGTCTCAACTCGCTTGTTCGGCGTGGAGGTAAACCGCCCAAACCCTTGGGATCATTGTACAATGTTAAAGCGGTATACATGGGCTGGGCAATCATCAATTTCCGTGCGTGGGTGTCACACAGCAGAATGCATATGAAGAACGACAAACCATAACGTGCGCGTGGCCTAAATGTGTTGCACGTGGCCTCACGAGTGAAGATCTCACATGCCCATTTACACGAGATTTTAGGTCAACCAAGTGCTCTGTGTGTGACGCGTGCTAGTGCTTGCTCCTCCTCTCAACGGGGAATGAGACGACACTATTTAGCTGGAAGAAGCAGCTACTGCTGTAGGGTCTGGTTCAGCTGCAGTGCACCAGCGTCAGGCCGACACGTGTGCTATGGGTTGTATGCATATGTACACGCTCAAACGTTGTTTTTTGAATGAAACAGACCAGGTGACGCCACTACCCCGTATGCAGCGATGCAACAATGCTGGTTTGCGAGGGCGGCCATCCTTCAGTGTAGCCCCACGCATCTCTGCCGTTCCCCTTCTGGAACACAATCCTCCCCCTCCCGCCAAAATGCAAAAAAGCCAGCGAAAGAATTCCTCGCCACGGCCGGTGTTACCACGACCGACTCCAACATCACCGACACAACCTACTTTTCACTGCAGCAGCACACCACGACAAGAACGGCAAACTCCCAACCACCACCTACACCGCTGCTGCGCCAACAAACGACGACAGCCTGATCATTGCGGGGATCAACAACTCACCCTATCGAGGACGCTCTCGTGACGAGGAAGCCCCCATCCGGGCAAGAAGCCTCCTCTTGGTCGCGCCGCCGCCGCCCCGCCGGCCGGCGAAGAGGAAGCGAAAAACCCTCCTGCGGCCTCCGCACCGCCGATAGAGAATCCTGCCCCCCCCAGCGCCGCGAAGAACAAAGCTGACGCGCTCCTCATCGTGTTAAAGACAGGTTTCCGGGCGTGCAGCTTGGACTGGAGCAATTGGTGTGGGAAATGAGGGGGGTGATGGTTGATGTGTGGCATGTGGGGATAGGATGCATTGGAAGTATCTTACGTTGAAGTGCCAAGTGCAACGGGGAGAGACAGACACGTGGGCGATTGGCATGATAACGGCGTGTGTGTCGTATGTGCATACGTGCTGCACTGACAGACCAACGCGGACTGACAAAACGCAGGAAACTAGCATGTGGTGCCTGCGCAGGACCGTGACCTCTTCGTGCACAACAGCAGTTTCCAACCGAAGTGCCCGTCCCTCACTCACTGCTGTGCAGAGCAAGGTCGAGGCCCCAGACAGCCGAGCAAGCACCTCACAGGAGAGGAAAACAACAAATGAGCATGCACAATTGTAACACACATCTCCCTGTCATCACTACTAGCCCGGCTCCACCAAAAACATGGCAAAGAAACTCAAGGGCAGTGGCGAACTCTCTCTTCCTCGCACCTTGCGCTTGGCCTCCCCCACTCCTTCCTCCTGTTGACGTCGTGTGTGCAGCTAAGCTGATGTGTGTGTATGTGCCCGGGACTTGGACGCTACGACGCTACTCTCTTTGGCGCACCCACGTGGAGCTATATAACGATTAAGCAACCCCTTGTTGCTCGAACACGCCTTCCTGATTTTGATTCTCTTTTTGGGGAGAGGGGCGGGGTGGGGGACCGCTGCAACGAGCGAGTTTAGGAATACCCACAGGCGGCTAGGGCGACACGCACGATCTAGGAAGGGGACAACTCTTCCCTCTGGCTTGGTATTGGGAATCTCGCTCCCTCACACAGGGTGGGCTCACCCAGACGAAGGCACAGAAGCTTGGCGCTCTTTCGAAAAGAACTCTGCAAGCAAACAGATAAAAAAAGGAAATCCGTCCCCGAAGCACTGCTGCAGCAGCTGTAGCAGGCAGCTCCCATTGTGACGCATACGGCGTGGGGCGGCGGCGGCAGCAGCCTGAGCAGTGGCAGCAGCGGCCATGCAGAACATCAAGTGCGTGGTGGTGGGAGATGGTGCGGTTGGTAAGACCTGTCTGCTTATCTCCTACACGACAAACGCATTTCCGGGAGAGTACATCCCAACGGTGTTCGACAACTATAGGTGAGTCTTGACCTTGCCAACGACTTGAATGCCTCTCCTACAGGTTGTCTTCCCCCATGTACGTAGTCACCCCCTTTTTTGCATTCCCAGAGGCAACTTGTCGCCCATATCATCGCCCCAACGGTAGAGACAGCGGCAGCAGCAGGCGTGCCTCCACGACGAAAAGTTGTATCATTTGTCGGCTTTGGTCGATAGTCTGCTGACGAAAGAGAGGAAAAAAGTCAGGGTTGGAAACTTTTGAACTACTCGCGAAGCCGCTGCTGCTGCTTCTGTTGGGGGGCCGACACACGCGCCCGCCTCTGCTGTTGTCTGTCTACTTGTACTGTTTTGCTCTTTTCCCTGGTCTGCTGACAAAAGCCACTCGTCAAATTATCGCAGAGTCCATCAGTTCTTCCGATAACCTCTCTCCCTCGTCTGTGCTGCTGTAACTCACTAGCTTGGTACACCCTTTCGACCCGCTTTGGCAAGGGTCCGATATGGGAACCTGAAAATTTCGCGGGGCGGCGGGGGTGTGAGGTTTTCGCCTGTTTAGTCTAGGAAACAGCGAGGTTGTGAAATGCCGTTCTATTTCGATTTGTCGGCTTTTTTTGGTGGAATAGCTCACGCAACAATTCTCTGCTCGACACTGGTACATGTCTGCAACTAAGTTCGTTCTTTGCTTCTTGTTCGCGCACGCAAACAACAGCGCTAACGTGATGGTTGATGGGAAGCCGATTAACCTGGGGCTTTGGGATACAGCGGGGCAGGAGGATTACGATCGTCTCCGGCCTCTCAGTTATCCCCAAACGGTAAGTTGTTTCAATGCGCTCGTCACGTGCTCGTCGTCTGCAGCGGTCATTGGTCGTCCTGGTTGCGTTTTTGTTCCGCGTTTGTTTGCTGCTGACGGCCAGAACCCAGAACAGCAACGGTCCCCTTGTGGTACAAGTATAACCCCAAGGTACTAAAACCGGAACACAACCACCGTACCAGTGACACATTTATATAGTTTGTTCAATCCACAGAGCAGTGACGTCGGCGGGAAATAATCACTACTTACAGTTGGGCCAGCCCCAAGTTGGACCTGGGCGTATGACCGTGTTTTCACGGCTTCATCTCACGTCAATCCCTAAATCGAATTCGTTTTGCCACACCCTGAGTCATTTGTTGCCTCTTCCAGAGGCCTCACTGCACATGACTTGTTGTTTGTTGTTGTTTTTCTTCACATTAAACTCGTGTCAGTTGCTAATCCCAAAATCTAGCAAAGAGATGACTGTTGAGCGTCGAAAAAATGTGCTGTTTTTGTTTTGAATGCAGGTCTCATCTATGCATGGTACTTATTTATCTAAATAGGTGTGAGGAATCTAGTAGTGCCCCTTTTTTTATCATGTCTGACCTACACGTCTATGCATACGACAGGCACAACATGCGCATGTTGGTCTTTAATATGCACATGTATGTGCGCACAACGTGGCTCCACCCCTCTAAGCGGATACTTGCGCTGGGGGTGTATGCTACGTGTGCGACATACATATCTCCACAGAGATGGTGACATCTACCGCGAAGGCCTCTACGAAGCTCGCACGCCGTCGGGACATCTTTTGTTCATGTGTAGAAAGCGTGACTGCGGGCGGATGTTGGCGAGGAAGAACAGGGGGAGTTGGGGAAATGATTTTTGTTGCTTCCGCCACTACTGTGCTGTGCATTTTGCCGTCAGGCCCCACAACTCTCTCGATCATGTACACAAGGCGTGCCAATATGCACATGTAGGATACCACCAGAAGCAGCCGTAATTCGCTGGTCGTTACATATAGCTCCTTGCTCCTTCACAAAGAAAAGGAAGAGCGAGCCAGCATTGGAACGGCCCGACATTGCTGTTGTTGGGCATTCTGACCGCGATACAGTACTTGTACAAGAGACAGAAACTGCCCGCGGACCCTGTGGTAACGTTGTACAACTCCTCTCTTGTAGTCGTTCAACGAAGGTATCTACTACTTCATACAACGTATCTTGAGACTTGAGGCCCTTGTGGTGGTCACTTGCACCCGTATCCTGCTTTGGGTTCTCCCTCTTCCAGCAGAAGCAAAGCCACAGACAAAACTGATCGCAAAAAAATCCATCGCTTTGCAAATAAACTGGTTTGATGAAACGGCTGATTCATTTGTTTCCGTTGTTGTTGCTGATGAAAGCGCCCACACGCCTGACGAAAGGGGCCAACACCGCAGAGAGACAATAATAGAGTGCGGCACACCACGATCACCCTGGGAGTTACAATGCGGAACGAGATATGAATCTCAGGCTCAAACATACGAAGTATTGAACTTGAAAAACTTGATCGTAAGAACGGGCGCCCACCCAAAAACTCCTTGTAGCCGAAACCTCGGCCGGTCCCTGTTGGGTCCCCCCCGCGGCGGATGGTAAGAAGCGGGCCTTGGGCAAGTTGTTGGGTGGCAGTGCGTTCTATGTTTCAGCACATGGTTCGTATGCATGCGACCCAGTACACTTGCGTTTTTTCGAGCGAAAGCTCTACAAGCGGTGGAGATGCATCGCCCCGTTTTCTTACAGGAGAATTACTGCTGTAAACCCATCGACAATCAAAGAGTTTTAACTCTCACAGCGATGCTGACCCTTCGACTGAACTCTGCACGGTTTTCACAAGCATGGATACACATACATATGCATACATATGTATAATCAAAGAGAGACTACCCGTTTGAGATACATGTACAACGGATTTTCTTGCCAGCCACGGGGGGAGCGGCGGTATAACAACAAGGCAGTGAGGACTATTCGACAGGATCTTCCCAGGTAGGTCACGCTGTTACCTCTGCTTGGGGTGACCCCTGCCGCTGGTGTTCGCCTAAGCGCACCAAGCATGGACGCCTAGCGTGCGCACGGATACCCACCCCGTTGATTGAACGTTAGCGCGGTGCTGCTCTCGCTAGTGTTGGCTTATGCGCTCAACGCATGGACGCCTAACGTGCGCACGGATACCACCCCGCTTGTTGAACGTTAGCGCGGTACTGCGCTCGGTGAGTCCGTGGGTTGATGAACGGCGCTACGGGCATCCGAGTTTTACTTGTTCCGTGGGGGTGGTGTGTTGGTCGTCTTCTTCCCGAAAGAGGTTTAAAAATAGATCAATTTAGAGGTATCCCTACGCACCTAGAAAAAGGTTCCCGGCACTGCTGTTGTCGGTGACGAGCATTTCATTACCCCAATCGGTGTCACCCCCCCCCCCTTTTTAGCATGTGGACAAAGAAGCCAGTGCTGCTGTGGTATCGATGGGTGCATATGCTGTCGTTTGCCGGATGTGATTTTGTGGCACGTGAGCCAGCAATACAGAGGTCGCTGAGACACAAGATGCACAACACGATCACAGCAGAATTACGTACAACCCTAATCAACTCTAGATTTGAGTATTTTGATGGAGGTTGCATCTGTCGCCAAAGAGACATGTTTGGAACAAGTTCCACAAACACCGCCAAACCGGACCTTCCACATTCCAGGAGAGTACGCGTACGATCGAGAACAACATACGTGTTTGCTTTGTACCCGCTGGCGCTGTCGTCTGTCAGCCGGCTAGCTAGCGCGTTCCATGCTAGCAGAAGCTCCCACGCAAGCACCCACGCATGAGAACAGCTCTGCTAACCCTGTTGATAACCTTGTCGGCAAATTGAATTCGGTGCAGCGTCGGTCGTCTTTACCTTCGAAATCTCTGTCTGGTCGAGACCGCCTGCTTACCGGCCAACTACTACAAAGCGTGGTAAACGCAGCTCGTGTGTGTTTGCTCCCGAGTTCAGAATATGTAGCTGCTCACTTGACCCGATCTTGCCCCGTTGTATTGGCGGTCCTGACGAGGAAACTGCATCCAATCAACATG